CCCTGACAAGACAAAAAAAAAAAATGTGCAGGGCAAAGTGGAGAAATCCATAGCAGCTGATGCGGTACCTCTGGGTCTTCACCAGCAGGGATAGGGAAGGGACTGTCAAGATAGTGGAAAAAAGCCAGCCTGTACGAGAGAAAGGGTCCAAGCACCCACCATACCCAGGCAGGGAAGAGCCAGCAGAAAAGTAGCTCATTCTCACTCTCTCCTTCACCACAGCTGGATGGGAAAGGGTGGAGAGGGTCTCCAGAGAGGCAGCCCATGTGGTCACCACAGGCAAGATGCCGGGGCCAGGATGCGAGGATGTGGGTGTTTCTCCAGAAAGGACCCCTGTGAACAGCACTGCCAACCAGGCATGTCACCCGTCCCTGCCTCCAGGACTCTGGAAAAGCTGACCACATCGATAATTATAGAACCTAGAGGTGGCAGGACCTCACGGCATCTCTGACTTCATCTTCCTGTCAGGGCAGAAGGTCTCCAGGGAAAAGGAGGTGACATGTCAAGTTAGTCCAAAGCCAAGAGGAATTCAGCTCAGACTCTGCCCTTTAAACCAGTGCCAGCTTCTTTGAAAACATGGCAGGCTTAAAAATCATCTGAGGGAAATATGTTTTAATAGCCAGGACATATTTTCACTGTCATTTTCCTGAGATTGATGATGTAATTAGGGCAGGCCAAGAGAATAAAATATTAGGTTTATAAACTAAGATGTACATAGATGTTTATACTCTTTGGCAGGCACAGATACATGAATAATTCTTTGTTCCTTAAGCTCAATGTAGTATTTGACAGTTGAGGTTAGAGCACCATGTCTTCCCCAAAGGCCATCCCTGTGTTTGGCATAAATCACAGTGCAAAGAGAAGGCCCATTAAGTGGTGCCTTCCTTGGTTGGCACCTGGAATGTATCTGGGGAGAGAAATACCCTGTGAGTGGATTGGCATGATAAATACTCTCTGATGCTCGGGCTGTTAGAGCTGAGCTCTGGGGCCCCACCTTGGCTGCTCAAGCCATAGGCATGCTGAGTGCCAGTGCTGGAAATCACATGGCCAACTGCAGGTTCAGACTCTTGGTTGACCTGGAGCATTGCTGAGTGATGGGTGCCCAAGATCCTGACAAGCTAGAGGGCTGGGGCTGGGGAAGGGGACCGCTGTGTGATGAGATCCTCTCTCATGCATGCACATACACTCTCTATCATTAATAAAATAAATTAACAACCAACAAAAATAGAGTTGCGCTCCGGGCAGAGAGAAGGGTTCAAATGGTCAGGACAGCAGCGAGGACTGTGCGAGTCCCCTCTGTTGTGGAGTGGGGCCAAGGCCTACCCCCTCTCTGGTCAGAGGGACCGTCTTGGGATGGAGCTCACAGGGACATTCATTACATAGGATTACCCCCCTCCTCTGACGTACTGTCCGGCTGCCGTTTCCTGAGCCTAATCTAATTGTAAATTTCTGGGGTGCTGGCACACTTTTATTTGCCGCATTCATTTTCGGTTTTAAGTTGGTTTAAGCTTTCTCCCACTAGCTGGGCAAAGACGCTCCCAGAACAGTGGTTTCCGGGGTTGTCCCAGCCTGTGTAGTGTGATCTGCTTTGAGCTCAGCTGCCTGGGGCCTTTTCACTGTAGGTGGCCTATCAGGACTTGTCCCCCACAAACCTTGTCTCTCTTGGGGGTCACTGTGGCAGCATGGCCTGTCATTCCAGGTGACTTAATCAGTGGGGAAAGCCCAGCCGGAGGCCTTTCATTGGTTTTCTCCCTCCCAGCACAAATGCTCTTCAAGTGGTGGTGGCCTGACATGGACTCTTCAAAGAAAGGCCTTTTGATCCCAGACTCGGGAAGCCTGTCCCCGCATGCTCCCAGCTGCCTCCCTGTGGAACTGCGCCCCCATCCAGCAGCCAGGCCTCTGCTGGGAGGCAGCTGACCTGAAAGTGATGTTATTTTTTTAAAAGTGGGTTTTAGTACCCAGAGCAATAATATTTTTAACTGGTTACTGAGGCTGATTAGGGAGCCCCAGGTCTCTGTTTGGTTAAATACAGCCGCCTTCACAGATATATTTTGGGACAGTGCAGATCCAGTGTTCTGAATGGGATTGGGTTACCCTAAATGGTGGTCAGCCATTTGCCTCAGGCCTGGGCCCTACAAAGCAGTCTGGCTACAACCCATGAGTCAAGGCTTCCAGGGATGGCAGGACACTGGATGCTTCACTCCTCACCCTGGAAAAGGGCAGTCAGTTGACTTTAGGATGCTCAGCCCCTTTAAAATGTTTCTCCTTTCTATTTATTTATTTATTTAGCCATATTGCGTGTGGACTTGCTGGAGAGAGACTGAGAGAAGGAAAACGAAAAATCACCCCCCACCACCACCACCAGGGGTGATGGCCACACTGCAATCCCTTGTCCTCTCTTCTCTTCTTGGGATTTTGGGCACACACAGACACACATGCCCAGCATGATTTTCAAGATGGCAGGTCCAGGATTTGAACTGTGGTCAGCCATGTGGGAGTCCAGCACCTTAACCACCACATCATCTGCTGGCTCCTAAATTTTTTTTATTTATCCATGATGGAATAAGTGTATGTATGAAAAAGAGAGAAAGAGAGAGACTAGCACCCTTTACAGGGTCTAGTCACACCACAATCTTCTTCCAGCCCATGGATCTTGGGTGCAGTTTTTTGGTTGATGGGCCAGGGATTTGAACAACAGTAACAAGGCAGGTCTGGCTTCTCTTGGGCAGCACGTGACCACTGCACCACAGAGCTGGCCTCAGCCCCTTTAGAGACACTGGCCGCCTCTGCCACTTAGTTGCTCTATTGTCTTTGAATCAGTTGTTTGGCTTCTTGGAATCTCTATTTCTCCATCTATAAATTGGAGATAATAATCCCTACTGTGTAGGGTGAGCCTGTTATAAGCACTTCACATTGTATGTGTGCACGCGCATGTGCTTATCAGTTTTCAGAGATTGTTAAGGAGCACAAAGTTGGAAAATAACAAGAAAAGTCAAGAAGAAAAAAATCGCCTTCTCTCCATAGAGTATTTTAAGATGTTATCAAACAAATCAAATCATCAAGACATCCTCAGTCTCGGACCACCCTGTAGCACAGTAGTTAAGGGAGCCAGATCCCACACAGCCAGCCATGGCAGTCTGGCTACAGCAGCTTCAAAATCACTGGTTACGTGTGCATGCATGCCCCAAATCCTGACAAGTTGAGGAAATGGAAGAAAAAGGAGTGCAGGATGACCACACACTCTTGGGGGATGCTCTCTCTCTGGGAAGGGTGCATGACCTATGGCAATTAAAAAGAAAAAAAAAAAAGGTGGGGGAAAGAAATCCTCAGTCCCTCAAGGCTTATCTTGGTGGTGAGGAGGAATTGGCCTCTGGAGAGAAGCCAGTAGGAGTCTGGAGGCCAGAGTGCCAACTAGTACCAGCCATGTGACCTTGGGCAAGTCCTGTACTTCTCTGAGCCTTGGGGTCCAGCCTTATAAAATGAGGGGCTGAATTGTTCTAGAACCACCATCCCAAAGCCCTGGGATCCAGATAATTGTAGCGTTCATGCTTCTCACTTCAAGGAAATTATTGGCTCTTGGCTCTCCGTTAGGGGAGAGGCAGCAGGACAAGGCAGCCTGCTTCCTGTGGATGGAATGCGCCTGGCTGCCTCTGTGGGCAATCCAAGGGCCTGCACTTTCTCTTTGTCTAGGAGGGTCTTCTAGGCAGGCCATGGGAGGAATCGTACCCTAGACACTGTGCTATGAAGTTCTCTTGTCCCGGGCCAGGAGACTGGGCGTCTGACTTGGCAGTGGGATGCCTAAGGGAAGAGTTTGGGGCCTTCCGTGCTGGTGTCATTTCCTCGGTCTCTTTTGAAATAGCTGTACGTTTGGACTGAGGCTGACAAGTCCCTGGGTGGTGTATTTTGAAATGGTTATAAACAATTTGCAATTAGCTCCTTTGTCTAAATGAGAAAGACAAGCTTACTCAGGCTTCTTGTTAACTCAAGGTCTTTCATCCAGTTGGCAAATGCGTCAGATGTGAGCGAAAGAGCCCTTTATGGGTCAAGGAAAATCCAAGTTTGGTTTTTAGAGGCCTCTTTTCTTTAGAGCTCAGCTTCCACTGGCTTTCTCTCGAGTGATCTGGAGCCATAAATTCCTTGGTATTGCTGAGAGGATAGCTCTGGGCTTGGGGGTCTGGTCCCAGCCCTGACATGTCCAGATGCATGACCCTGAGCAGGTTGCCTCCCACTGCCAGCTCTCTTGATATCTGTCTGCGGACGAAGAGGTAGAATGGTCCGTCCTAAACTGCCCACCCTTACCACCCCAGGTCTTTTGAGATTCAGATAGGATCATCTAAAAGATCTCTGTATGTTCACTTTGTAAACTGAAAAGCTGGAAAAGATAAGGCATTCATAGCAGTGTACTCTCTGTGGCAATGTTCTTGAATCGTTGCTGTGTGCCGGGCTCAGGGCTGAGAGCTTCCTGGCGTGCTATCTGCACTGTCGCCCTGTATGTAGGTGCCGGTTCCATCTGCATTTTATAGAGAGGCTAAGCAAGTTGTCAAGGTCACACAGCTTGAAAGGTTTGAGTGGCCTAAGGCAGCCTCTCGGTAGCCTTCTGGCTTAGTGGTCTCTTATTCTGCAGTGGTTTCCGTCAGTTTATCTAAGTTGGTGGTTCTGGAACCCATCTCCTACCTGCCAGCTTTTGTGGCCTGCCAAGGGGTCTGATTCTGCTGGTTCAGGATGAGGCCAAGCGCCTGTGTTTGTGGGTCAGTCCCTGCTGATTCTGATGTGCAGCCCACGTGGAGGACCGCGGCCCAAAGCACTAGAGAGTGCAGAATGGTTTGGACCAATGTCAGTGCTCCTTGGGCATTTTCTCCTCTCTGAGCTTCAGTTTCCTGCCCTATAGAAGAGGAGATTGATCAGGTGGATTCTCAGGGAGCTTCTCAGGGGTTTCTAGGCTCTGTAAGTATGAGAAACTCATGAACAAATGCAATACTTTTCTTTTTCTCCTGTTACAGGCAGAATATGAAGTTACTCCAGATGAAAAACTGGGAGAGAAAGGGAAGGAAATTATGACCAAGTACCTCACTGCAAAGGTAAGAGACCTCCCAACCCTACAGGGTGAATGGGAGGTCTGACCCAGGCATAAGGGCCCCAGTCCCCACCAGGCCATGTGGGCAACTGAAAAGTGCCAGCAGAATTCTCAAGAATACCTGGAGTGTCCTGAAGGACAAGGTCACCCTGACCCCACCTCAGGGACACCCACCCAGATGGTTGAGGGAGCAGAGTGGTACCGTCCACGGGCTCCTGGCAACCTTGGTTCTCTAGAAACTGCTGCTGCTTAGTCTGCTTTGACAGAGAAATGTGTCCTTGATCCAGTTTGTTCTGTAGTCCAGCTGTTCTACCCTCTAGGTCAAGGCACAGTGTCCCTTTCTTAAAAATGGCCTCCCACGGGAACCAGCAGTTAGTGTAATGGCTATGTCGCTGGACTCCCACGTAGTCGACTGCAGTTTGCGTCCCAGACCCGGTGGCTTAAAACTCACGCTGGGTGCGTATGCGTGCGTGCCCAAAATCCCGAGAGGAGAATGGAGGAGAAGGGATTGCGGTGTGACCATCCCCCCTGGGGGGTGATTTCTCGCTTTCTGTCTCTATGTCTCTCTCTGTCTGTCTGGCGAGCGCACGCGCCCTATAGCAAAAAAACTCTCAAAAAAAAAAAAAAAGGCCTCCCAGGGCCAGATGTTGGCATGGTAGCTAAGGTGCTGGATCCCACATGGCCAACTATGTGGTTCGAGTCCCAGACCTGGTAACCTGGGAAACATACCAGGCACGTATGCATATGCCCAAAATCCCAAGAGGAGAATGGCCATCTCCTCTTGGGTGTGCTTTCTCACTTTCTTGCTCCCTCTATCCCCAGTGAATGCATGTTCCTTATGGCAAATTAAAAAAAAAAAAAAAAAAAAAAAAAAAAAAAAGGTGCCTCCTTGCTAGACCCACCTCTTGGAGGTGCTGAGAGCCTGAGGTGAGACCCACATGTGAATAACTTTGTACGCATCCTGCACCCATGCAGCCCGTGGTGGCTTCATCCTGCTCAGGACCCGGAGTGCTGTGGGTACCAGCCCCTGGCACGGTTCTCCTCTTGGTGGCCATCCCAGACTGAGGTCACCACAGCCTGAGAGGTTCTGGCCATCAGTCCTCCTCACCATGCTCACCCCACCGTCAGCCTGTGTGCTCGGGCAGGTGTGTCCTGCCACAGCCTCTGCAGTCAGCTAGCTCGTGGCCATCTCCCTGGCAGGACAGGCCCAGCCTCTCACCCAGAGTGCTACCCGCTCGTTGGCCCTGCTGCTCCCCACAGCC